CAGTTTTACATATTTCAATAGCTTTATATTCGTCAAATTTAATTAAAGCTTATTGATATTGTTAAAGAATTTACTAGTCATAAAATAGAAAAAATTCAAAAAATGGCTCTATTATATTAAACTATATGAAGTGCTCTATCTTTTATAAAAAACCAAAATAGTAATTATTATACCAGTTCGAGAAAAAACTGTACCGAAAGTTACTAGTATCCGCAGTAATCTGCAGTAATTTTGGATTTTCATAAAAAAAATTTATCATATGCGACCCTAATTATGGTTTAATTTACTGATTTGATGAACACCCTAATGTAACGTTATATGAAACTCAGGATGCACTATTGGCTGACTTCTGTCGATCAACACATGATAGTAAAAATTTACTTGAATATTTATTTGTGCGAGCGATACAAACCTAAAAAAGGAAATTAAATGTGAAAATAAACCAAGTTCGTGAAAATAAAAATTTAGGGTTAGAACGCTGAAGTTAGGTGCTACAGAAATAAACATTTATTTCATACATGTAAAATTTCATTTCAGTTACTTTTAATTGGTGCCCAAGACAGATTTAAACACTAAGTTGCATTTTTTTTTGTATTTTTCTTCGCTTCGCTTATGTGTCAGGCTGATTCAGATAATCACATTTTATATTCTTCGATTGGCTAATTTCTCTTTTTGGATTACATAACTACCCCAAGGTTGGTTTTAAACGATCTCTATTTATAAATACATTTTCCTCTGTTGGTAAACAAATCATTGGCATAATAGAGAAAAAACTAAAGAAGAACTCAAGATGTTTTTCCCGAACTATTGTAAGTTTCAAAGTATAGTTTACATACAAGTAATGAAAATCTAACTTATCAATGCATTCAGGCAAATATCGAGAAAAAACAGGAAGTTGCAGTTAAACAATTACAGATGCAGGTTGTAGTCATTTCTTCTAAAGAATATATTGAATGTTTATAGAAAGTTTATTCTATTATATGTGATTTTCTGCTATAAAATTCTAAAAAAAGAAATCAGAAAGATGTACTAGTAAGCATTTTTTTACAATAAGTTGAGAAGAATTCTACAAAATTAATTGTTTGTTTTAATATTTTTAGAAAGGTGATTCTGAAAAAAATGCTGTCAAAAAATGCAAAAATATTATATTAGCATTACAAACTCCAGAAAATCAAATAGTAGCTGATGAACCAGATTTGAATTATTTGAGCAAGCAGGCAAATGTAAGCAATAAAAAACTTTACATTATAAATTTAATTAAAAAATTGCTGCTACTGCATTTTTAATCTAAAATTTTTACAAGATGAATTAAATTTTGAGATATCATCTATTTATAAGAATAAAGATTAAGAAAATTCTTTAGATGGCAGCTCTGATGAAGAGAATATAGTTGAACTTGCAGACATATCATTTAATTCTTTTGTTGATTCAAAAATTGATAACGAAAATTATTATTGAAAATTAAAAAATAATAAAGTATAAGAGGCTGACTTATAAATATAACAAAAAAAGCAATTGAAGAAATAAAACAATCTGACAAAATAGATTCAAAAATAATATGCATTATACAGTAAAACATAGTAGCAATTATTTAATACTGTAGTTTTTTATAATTTACTAAACATTTTATAAACATATATACAGATTAGAACTATTATCTATTATAGATCTTTCATTAGAGTTTAAATAGAGCATGCACTTTTGGTTTAATGATGATTGGATTTCATTAAAAATCAAAGCACTATTAAAAATTAACTTAACAGTTGAAGAGTTTTTTGATAAAATATTAAAGTTTATTACAAAAGTTAAAAATATATATATACTATATTATTCTTTTAAAATTCATCATATTATAAGTGATACTAACTCTTTTACACCTTTCACTATACTCAGTTCTGTACTTCGCATAATTATTTGGAGTGAAAAAAATTATTATTAGAAAAAATAGTTAAATAATCTACTAATATTAAATTTAAACAAATTTTAAAAGTATATTTCTATATATATATTATTATTTTATTTAAATACTTAACTTTTTTTTATCTTACTATTTACTAATAAAGTTTAAACTTTATTTATTAGCTTGAATTTGTTCTTAGAAAATCTATATTTATTTGTAAAAAAGAATAGTCAACAACAAAAGTATATAGAAATATAATATATAATAAAAATAGTAAATTCTATATTGAAAATAATATTTTTTGATTGTCAAAACCTTGTAAGGCTTATTTAGTAAGTATTTTATTAATTTTGAAATAATTATCAATTGTAAACTAACAGATTTATTTATAAATTTTTTAAGAAAACACTGTTTCACAAGTAATAAATAATTCAAAAAGAAAAATAGACCTCTGTATAAAAACTGAGAATAGCATTAAAGAGTTGAGCCATTCCAAATATGTTTAAAAAGCTATGATGATTAAAATTCTAATAGATCGAAATAAAAATCTTTTAGTACTAACAAGTGTATATTTAACAAATACTTTAAAAATGATCTTTTAGGTGAAGCTTTAGAAAATACATCAATTTTTAGATTACAGCTAGCAAATATAATTATATTAAATGTTATATATTATACATATTTCTTATAATTCAATACTTTCATATCTTTAACTATTATATACTTTAGCTCTAGAAAGGCAACTAATTGAAGCTGATATATTGGATAAAGAACTTTATTTTGGATTTGATGGACCAGCTTTTGAGTTTTCCACTCAAATTTGTAGTATTAATGTTTTAAGACAGTTATTAGAAGTTTTGTATTATTTTAAGATAAATGAGTCTAAAATTTCGCATTCTATAATTATAAAAATACTTATAAAAAATTAATAGAAAATAGAAGCAAGTTATTAGTAAAGCAAAATATTTGTTTAAGAATTTAAAAAAAAATACAATTACCAAACTTCTATATTCTGAAGATATTATAAAACCAGATTACTTCAAAACTAATTATATTTGGAAAACTTATTTTTTGATAAAAAAATTATCTTTAGCCAGTGAATTCAATAAGTTATAATTAAATTTAAAAATAAATTGTGATTTATTTTATTTTTTTTATATACAAAAAAATATTGTATGTATTTTTGTTTAAAACTATTCCAGAAAATATATTTAGCAAAATGAATATAAATATATAAAAAGTCCTAATTCTAAACACAATCTTTGAGTTAATCTCATGTTTGATTAAATTATTAGAATCTTCACTATAAAAGAATTTGTGTTGTATTTTTGGGACTTTATTTATAGTTGTCCTTCTATATAGTCACCTTCATACAATCATATGATGTAATTATACTTATATTTAACTCAAATTAGATTTAATTTATAAGAAAAAACTTTTATATAAGCCAACTCCTTTATATCTATTACAGCAACTTCAAGATAAAAATATGTAAAAACTGATACTAACCCAATTAATATCTATGAAAAAGGTGATTAGCAGATTTCTTTTTAGGTTTGGTACTATTCACATATTTTTAAACTATTTTTTTATACTTTTACCTTTCTTATTTATATAATATGACTTATTTTCAAAAATCTTTTGATATATAATTTCACCTTTCTATATGATTTTTTTTATGCATATTTTTTTGCACTTTTTAAATTTAAAGATAGATCTTTATCATTATTATTTTATTTTATACAGTATTATTTCTGTATTTTAAATGTCTCATTTGTATACACTAGTCAATTGTTATAATTCTTTCTCTTAACTCTTGTTTTTTTGAAAAATTAGTTCTTTTCTAAATATTTATTTGTTTTATTTACTACAGTATCTATTATGAATTTGTTAAAGTAAGATTCAAACACACTTTTTCTGCCAAAGTTGGTATAAGCACAAAGAGTTTTAATCCTTCTGAATATAGATAGTTAAATTTAAAAATAAAAACTTTAACAATGAAAATAATTTGTAATCATTATTGTAATTTCTATTTTGATTTCTATTAATATCTATATTATAGAGCCAAAATCATGGTTTGTTTTTTACAAGTCTGGTGGGTTAGTCTATACCATTATGAGTATTCAGTAATTTTTTATCAAATCTTAATTATTCATTGGGCCAGATTCTTGAATAGATTCTCTACCTTTAGTACAAGTTTTGTTATATGATCATATATAATAATTTACTACAATTCACATTTAAAGTTTTTAATTATATCAATTTTTTAGATCTAAATTTAGAATTTTGCATATTATGCATAGTGACAATAATCTATAAAATTGACTTAGTTGACTACATTACTATATATAAATATAGAAACTTTAGAAATAAAAATCTAATTAGTTAAGTCTATAAATTTGTATTAATTATAAATACTATCATTATGAAATTAAGAGTAAAAACAACATTAAAATGATTACTCAATATAGTCTTGCTCATTTGAAGCATAATTCATTCTTATAAGAGTCATAAATATATGAATATCTTTAAACAACTTTGTCTGACATTTTAAAGTTAAAGGCTTTAAAGGAATTATAGCTAAAGATTAATATGGATTAAAATGATTATTATTATAAGGTTTTTTTTTTAAACTATTAGATTTTAAAGTTATAAAACTTTTTCAGGCTGATCATAGTAGAAATAAAAGTGATGATATGCATGTTTATCATCAATTTTTACAAAATATAAATTTAACAAACTTTCAAATTTATAATAATTCCATCCTTTATCATTATATCTAACTGCCATATTGTTTTTATTTTTTTAATTAAGTGACTATAGTTTCAACATAATTTATACTTATAACTATAGATTTGTGATAATGTAATTTAATTATTCCAAAGTATGAATTACAAAAAATTTAGTATAATCAGAAATTATAAAATTTAGTTCAATTGTATTAAATTGTTGAATTATAGTAAGCCATGAATAGAACTAAATAGTAAGGTTGTTTTTGTTTTAACTATTACAATTATTACATGTAACTTTTAAATATTTTTGTGATAGATTTCAATAAAACAAAATTTTATATATAAGACTAAGAGTTGTATTAGCATCTTTAGGTGTTTTTTTGAAAACTGATGTTTACTAATAAGATAATTTCTTTGTATTTTTAAACCTATATTAGCAATTCTGAATATATAAATATTAAATGGCGATTTGAAGTACAATTCTCCAGGTTGCTGCAGTAAATAAGAAATTTGTATACTTTGAGCTCAGTCATAACAAATATTCATTATATCAGATTTAAATTATTTAATTATATGAATATTTTTATTATAGTATTAACATTCGGTTGTAGCAGATGTATATTGAAAATCATATTCATTCTGAAGTTTTTTTATTTTCTATATCATTAGTAATTCAAATTTTAATACAAAGTTGTTTACATTTATCATATAGGTCTAATGCTTTTGCTATTAACTATACATCAGATGTGACTTCTTTTTAGACTTCAAAAATATATAATATGATATGATTTTATAGTTTTTATCTTTTACTAATTCAATAGAATTTATAAATTCTTCATAAATATTATTATATGTTATGTCTATTAGAAGTGAAATAATTGGTATAATATTTTGATACATATGTTGACCAGGTAAAAGAAATCTGTAAATATTGGCATAGTTATAAATAAAATTAACTTCTTGCTTAATTACTTTATTTATAATTGTATAATCAGATTGAATAAAAATATGTTCTATATTTCTATAAATATTTTTAACAATTCATTTATTTTTATATATAATTTAATTCAATGAAGTCAGGCTAAAGAAATTTCTATTAATACTACATATGTAGATATACACACCAAATATTAAGCATCATAATGGTACTGATAAGTGATATAACTATGTAATTCTTGATTATTATTTTTTTGTTTTTTTGAATGTTCACTAAATATAAATAATGTGAGTTGTTTATTGATCCAACTATCCAAGCTTTTATAAAATATTTTATAACATTCTTTTTGTTTTTTAAAAAATCAATAAAATCCTATCCTTTCAAAACAAGGTTCATTTTTGCTTTTATTTTTCTTACAAGTACATTCTTTCTTTTTTCAAAATTTTCACAATTCTTGAACATACTAATAGACAATATCATCTGTCTCATCATATTTCTCCATTCCTAATTCAGTAAATAAAAGCATATTATATAGATCATTTTGTTTTATGTTAAAAATATTAATAGCTTCAGTAGTTTTCATGATAAATATTTAAAATTACAAAAAAAAAACTATAAAATGATTTAAATATATATATAATTTTATTTTAATTTTTTTTTATTAACTAGCCTCTTTGGCGTGATGGTTTTTATTCAAGTATATTGAAGGTAGGAGGCTCATAGCAGAACCTTATATTACATTAGAGAGTATAACTAACCACATATGTAACTTTTGGTTGCCTATTTAAGTAGTCTGTATATAGATAACTGTATATCATAAGTTCTACATTAACTGCTATATCTATAACCCAACTAGAGGATTATCTATTTAAATCCTCTGTAATACAACCAACCCTTACTTGTATCACTAGGACATCTTCATTACATTTGTCAGTCAAGAAGTTCCAGATGCTTGCTATAACCTTAGGACTAATTTATCATTGAGGCATCATTGCTAGAGCTTTCTATATTCACAATTTAGCTAATCTAGATTTTAGTAACTTATACCAAGTCTAGAAACAAGTACTTGTGAGCTGAAACCACTACTATTACCTACTTTCACTCTTATAGAGTTTATCTAAATCTCATCACCTACTATATGGACTGTTTACCATTTCTCTAAACTTCCAATTCAGATAGTCTGAAAGGACAGACCTCTTCCCCAGTATACATTAATGGCCTGGTTGGTATGATGCTTTGCTAAACACCTTGGTCCCATCCAATTTCTGGTTCTTCAATTGATAATTCTTTATATAGCACTATCAAAAATCTGTGCTACCTCTCTATTTGAAACTTGCCAAGCAGGCTTCCATGTGCTCCAGCCTTTGGATTTACTTGGCTGCTTCACTTGGATTTTGTATAACTCATATGTCACACTAAATGTTTCACAACCTCTCAGTACAAGCTGATACAACCAAAGCTATAAATCCAATGATCCATCAGATTACACACAGTCTATAATAATACATTCTATAAAATTTGAATTTCGTCACTAGTGGGATTCGAAATCTTGTCCTGCTGCTTGGGGTGTAACAACTTACAAACTTCACTAAGTCACCACACCTTTATACATAATTTTATTAATTTTAACAAACGTATAAGTAATTACATATTCATTTAAATTTAAAGTTAATAATATAACCAGGGCTCTAATTAAATTATTATTTTAACACAGGCAAAAATTTGCTTTAATGAGACCTTGAATAGATCTCAATGAATAAGCATCTATCGGCTTTAATATAAAGTCCTACTCCTAAGAAAATTGACCAGAACTATGTGCCGACTCTGCCCCTGATATCCCCTGGATATGCAAAATTCTATTTTATCTTAAATATTGAAATTGATCAAACATCGATATCTCAATTTAAGGAATTTTCCCCGAATACTCATAACGTTACGGACTGACCCAGGTTGTAAAAAACAATAAAACATTTACACTCCACTAAAATATTCTTTTGAATATTGATGACGATTGTTTCTAACACCAGTAAGTAAAATCGTACACTATCTAGAAGGTAACTTAGAGATATTAATAGTCCAGTCCAGTATCAGTTCAGTCTTTTTTGATCCAGGTTTGGTTATTGTCTATTAGTCTTAAGAGTTAATTAGACCAGACTGGTCTGGTTTTAAGACTAAGAGCAAACTAATTTTTTTTAGTCCGGACTGGTCTTAAGACTAACTGTGGTCTATTAGTCCAAGACCAAACCATATAACATCCCTAAGGTAACTCTTTGATTTAAACAATTGTTAGAAGTACTCAGAGTAATCTTTTATGAAAGATCGTTTAAAAATCTGAACATATGGGCGAATCGGCAGAATTGGACCCTTTTTTAAACTTTTAAATCTCCAAATAAATAACTTTTGATCAAATGGACGATTTTACCACCAAGATGACCGCGATTTCCAATGAATTTAAAATCGGTAAAATTCGATTTTAAGTTCATTGGAATCGTCTTATAGAGGCGGTCATTTTGGTGGTAAAATCATCCAAACAGACCATTTGATTAAAAGTTATACACTGTTTAAATTATTAGTTATTCCGTAAAGCCGCCCATATGACAAATCGCTAGAACAATCCCGATAACAAACACATGAAGATCACTTGTAATTATTGCTGTATTGTATGGTGTTACGAAACATAAATTTTATAATGCAATAAACAAAGTGGCAAGGTTTTTCGTTACCATTCCAAACTTTTGCTGTATGAAAATCATTTTAAGACGAATATATAAATAAGTAATTAGCGCAGCTCATTTATATCACAATCAAATTACTAAATATGAAATGACATCACTGTATCAGAATAGCAAATTAAAATTAGGATAAATCAGTAAGTGATTGGATCTTTGCAATGTTTTTGAGACCTGAAATCAAATATTTGTAATAAAAATACCCGGATACCTTACAATCATTTGCGGGAAGTACGATACATAGCAAATCGTAATGTAATATAGCTCCATTATTGTTAAATAGTAAATTCAATAGTACATATAATACTCTTCAAGGATCTAGGACCGAAACTCAAACTGAAGTTCGACAGTACGATAGTTCATTGCAACATCAACGTGAGTCGTCGAATTTGAAGCCGAGCAGAACTCTTCAAAATAATATTGCTATCTAAATAAAGAATAGTACAACATTTGCTCTTTAATTTACAAAATATAACCAAATATTTTTAATAGCTAAAAATTTTAAATTAGTAATAAACATATTAAATGATATAGCTAATGTTTGATGAAATCTAGTCCTGGACTTCTCTCCCAACTAGCTATTTTAAAAAATTTAAAGAAATAAGTAATTTCACAACTTACTGAAAAAAAATTTTCCAAAAAACTTATTGTAACTCACTAGGATTTTAAAAGTAAATGAAAGTCATTCCGAAAAAAGTTCAATTTACCGGTCAATGAAAATAAACAAATAGCATCTACCTTTATTGTTGGTTTTGGTGAAATTTATTTATACAATTGCATCAAAAGCATATTAATTGTCACAAAATTAAGAGCAATACACCAATTAGTCAAATCGAACATAGAATGCTAACACCTTGATAATTAAATATAAGGGGTGAACAATTTAAATAATACATACACCAAAACCCTTATTATTTAGGAATTCCCATCTCAAAAAAGATTTTTTTAGGCCGCCAAACTGAAAATCAAAAATGAATATTCAAAATTTGAATTAATTCTGCTACGAAAAAAAGAGGCACTATATTACCTTGAACCAGACTTGGCTTGATCCTAGTATTATCATTAGAGGTGCTCAAGCCAGTAGATACAGATGCAATGGTGTTACTGAATGCATCATCAGGATGCCATGCGATGTCAGCAACTCTAGTACTAAAAAAAGTAGGAAAATTTTACTACCACATATAAGACATTCAACTGAAACATGTACCTTTGAAACAAATAAATGCACCCACCGGTGACCTATATGTTTGAAAAAGGCACCACCAAGTCGATTATCAGTCTTCTATATAGGAAATTTGTGATTCATAAATAATGCAATAAAACACGCATGTTTTTATCGAGTTATAAAACCTACTTTAGCATTCCAAAGAATAACTAAACTATCATCTGAGCAACTTGCAAATGTATCAGATGAATATGGAGACCACATGACTTTGTTCACGCGTTTGTCATGTTTTTTAAAGGTTTTTAATGACCTATCGACCTTTAAAGTGAAAGACTCAATGAATAAAATAGCAATAGAATAGCTGAAATCATTTAATGCATTAACCGAAATTTAAATACTAATAACTTACCTGTAACAATCCAATTAGACTACGCATTGATCTTGCGTCCCAATATTTGATACTTCCAGTTTCATCAGCAGTTAAAAAGTAATGTTTATCATGAGGATTCCAGTGACAACTAGTTATAGCCACATTGTGAGCCTTTTGAACCTATTTAAAAATGAAAGATATATATTTAACTAAAATGAATTATAAAGAATCTTAATAAAAATATTCGAGCACTTGCGGTTTGCGTGACGTTATTATTACGATAATCCCAAATTTTGATATCTCCTCCACTAGTAGTGCAACAAATCTCATTAGTTATTGTATTAAAATCAACAGCAAGAATTTTGTCAGCAATGGGATCTTCAACAATCTTTGTGGAAAACTTTGGATGAAACACTAAAGACTCGTAAAGAAAAAATGGATCGTTAATTATAAAATCGTTGGTGCACAAAAATTAACATTTGATACTAAAAACATGGGCAATTATAATACCAGTTGAACTGTGATAGGGCCCAAATCCATACGAATCCCAAATTACAAGGTGTCCAGTTAATGCTAACATTAAGGTATAAAGGTATTTTGAAATGAAAAACAATTTTTTTTAATGCTAAAACAATAGAAGAAAAGAAACTTTGCATATTTACCTCCGTTGACAATTAAACGTTGATTTTTATCAATCGACAAGCCTGGACCGATGTTATCATTGTTAGAATTGTCCACCACAAATTTTCGAGTAGAGATTTGCCTATTAAGCATACAAGTTAAAGAATTCTAATCTATAAACACATCAAGGCGAAAGCATTGCACTCTCAATCTGCTTGTTAAATAATAAAATTATAATATTACGTTTCCCCTGCTAACGTGTCGCTTTTTGTTTTGACACTCCACTCATAAATCCGCTTATTTCCGCTTGTGATAATAGTATCCAGGTTTAGAAGCCTTGAATCATACGACAAATGATATTAGTGATTACATTTAAGTGAATATCATGGAAAGAATTAAAAGGTACACACCTTGCTTGTTGAATTGGTTCATTATCATGATGTGGAATACATTTAATAAAATGAACATTCTTTGTAAAAGATAATAAATCATTAATAAAGTCATAAAATGAATTTTATTTTCTCCAATTCAACGGTGATAATTTACCCCACACTGTCTGTTTTTATTCCGTTTCGTGAATTTAAGTCTATTCATTAATTGTAAATTATAGTTTGCTGTTTTTTTATCATCTTTTGTAAAAAGATCACAATCCATAATACCCAAACACATAGGATGACTTTGATTTATTGATTCGACAGCTGTACATATAATAAACAAGCAATTAATTCTATACATTGATTATATATAATTAGGATAATGGGGAAATTACGAAAATACCACTATAGAGCATATACTTCTTGCTTATGTCAGATGAAGCGCCTACCCTTAAAGATACATCACCCCACTCGATTGTTGATAGTGATACTATTTTCTTAAACTCTGCATAATGAGAATATACAACATCATACATTGAAGGCACTGTATGCTCAAATTCTCCAGCCTGAAAAAGTCTGGTATTGTTAACATATTTAGCTAAGGTACCCTGAAAGGAATATGAATAATTAGAAAATATCAATAGAAATAGTTTGTTAGTTATAAGCTGAAATTCAAACGTTACCTGAAACTGGGGATGGTTTAGCTGTTTACTCCAGGATGATTCCTTACTGTTATGTTCTATATTTTCGTTTTTTCCATCAGATATAGGTGTCGCAACACCTTTTCCCTTAACATCTCTTTTTTTTGTTGGAGACCTTATAAAGAACTCGTCTGATGACATATTATTATCATCGCTTTGATTTGATATTTTAATAGGCTAGTTGTGGAAAATTTTAAGATCACATGATAGATCATTTTCGGTGCCACAATTACAGTATAAGATACAATTTAGTACTGTATGTATGAATAATCGTAACCGAACCCATCCCTAGTCTATATGTTCAGGAGTATCATTAGAACTTTCCGTCTCAATGGAGGTGATATTAGATTGGTTGACTTCTATGGTACACTCCCCTGACATTGATCACCGGAATTTTGATTTTCACGTTACCTAATGATGATCGTAGCCACATATGGGGAACGTCTAAAGCCGTGTCCAGTCACGTGTTTTTTGTTTTTAATTAATTTAGGGTAAGGGTTAGTTTGGA